CGCTGCCTCATCAGGCTGAGTTTCCAGAAACAATGCAGGAACAAAGAAAGAAAAGAGTCCCACAATGACTTGTTTTTAAACCACATCAAAATCAGAATGATCTCAAATGCCAGCACAAGTATGATGACTTGCATTGTAACATGAAGCAGTGGTGGTGTTCAGGATAAGGCCATCACCCACAAACCCATCAGTCATCATTCACATCAAGATCATGGTCAAAGTCAGTCAGTCTGTTGCCGGGCATAATAACTGTGCAGGAATTCACCTCAGCCTTGGACGTGACGACGACTTGTAGTGAACAACTCTGGTATTTTAGCCAGACAGAGTCCCTCAGTGATCATTTTCACATGCACATCATTATCAGACATCGTTGCACATATTTCACCGAGCTCAACGGATGCACAGGAATTTGTCTTTAGTGACATCTGTGCAGACATACTGATGACTGTCATTGTAACACAACACAGGGGAGACGGATAGAAGGGGGAAAGATAACACGGTGCAGCCATTAGTGATTTCTTCACCACATTTGTTTCCAGAAACGGAGCGACTTCAGTCATTAAGGACTTTAAAAACACTGAAACCTATCTTTGTACATTTTACATAAACGTGTGTACCTGTCAGTTGTTTCCACACTGTGATCATTTTTATCTCTAGTCAAAAAAAAAGGTACATGAATTTGTCTTTGTGGCATGGAAAAATGCTCCTTTCTGGTCTAAATCTCAAATGGAACCACAATTATCATGCTTATAATAGATGTGGGCGGCACTGTGGTGCAGAGTTTAGCCCCATCGCCTTCACAGCTAAGAGGTTCTGGGTTCCGGCCGGCCAGTGCCTTTTTTGTGGCGCCTGCATGTTCTCCTCATGCCTGCATGGGTTTCCTCCCACAGTGCAAAGACATGCAGGTTTAGGTTAATTGGCGATTCTAAATTGGCTGTAGGTTGTGAGTGTGAAGAGTTAATAGTTGTTTGTCTCTACATGTCACCCCGTATATATACTGTCGACCTGTCCAGGGTGCTCACCCTCACTGTCAGCTGGGATTGGCCCTCAAAGGGATACGAAGTATAACTGATGGGTGGATGGATAATAGATGCACTGGAATTTTTCTCGCTTGCGTTTCTGCAGACTAATCGATGACAAAACAAGTGCTTCAATTATCTTTTTTTTTTTTGTCCACATCATGATCAGAATTGGAAATCCTATAATTAACAATAACAATAAACATTTGTACAGAAATGAAAATAAATGAATAAATTGATACACAACACTGCTGGCTTTGGTGAACGAGACAGAGTGTTTGGATAGTACCCTAATTTTCTCAACAAATCATGATGAGAATAATAATCGCTTCATAGGCTAAGCTCAATAAATGCAGTAATATAGTTTTTGGTCACATTTCTGGCACAAAGGGAGTCCTTCAAGTGTTACCTCATTGTCATTGATAAGTGTTCACATTTACAGATTGCACATATACCATTCTGGTCATCCTTTCCCTTGCACTTTCTTGTCATATTGAATTGCATTTGAGACTCTTTATATCTGTTGTCAGGTCACAGTTGCTTCACTGTTGTGTATTCCTTTGTATTTGTTACTTGCAGTGTTGCTAATCAAGAATTTTAAGCAAATTGTCCTGTCACACTTAAAGCAGACTGAGGAACAAAGGCCTAAAATATGTGAATTCTCATCTCGCCGTCCCTGGATTTGATTATTTTTTATTTTGGGGACACGAGAAGAAAATAGAGCAAGACCAAGAGAAAAGACTGGTTTTCATAATGAATCTTGGTTTGGCTAAATAGTTTTACAAACTTCACGATAACACAACTTGTTCCTACATATTTCTAACCATCGAGTCCAGACTGAAACAAACCAGATATCAGTTGATTTAGTGTCAGTTATTCTTCAATCTCTAACTGTGCTGCCAAACGCACCATGTGCAAGGTCTAAAATTACAGCCTGCCAAGCACCGAATCCTTCAACTTTAGTGGATAAATCAATAAGAGTCACTCACCGAACTGGACAGTAACTTTCTGATATGAGGAAGTAAATATAGCTTAAATGGAGTGCACTCTTTCTGGTCATGAGCAAATCAAATCCAAGTTAAATGTAGTAACTTCCAGCCCTCTGTTTGAATGGTTAACTCCCAAAATGCTATTTGAAATATTGTATAATATTTAATATTATAATGTAATATTTGAAATCCATTTTAAAGCGTTAATAAGAAATTAAACTCGACTTCCTCTACATTCTCATGCACATAAAACAGCAGTGAGAACAGATGTATTGAAACTTTACTAGAAATTCATTATTTTGGTTCATACATTTTGGGACATTTTTTCAACTTGGGAGCGTTGGGGCCGCTCTGTAATCCAACCTCAGCACCATCATGTGTAATTTTCCCCATCATTTGGCTGGCATTCTGTGTGAGAGAGAGTGTAGAGACAGCAGGTCTGCCTCGCAGCTCTCTGTCAGAGGGAAAAAGCTTTAAGTAAACACACCAGTTCCCACTCAAAGCCTCCATTCCCCCTTTCCGCCACCGGCATGGAAAGCCTGCTCCGTATTTATACCGAAAAACAACAACAAATACTTTTTCCTTTTATTCTTATAAAGCTTAAATAAGCAGTCATCTACAAATACCATTACAGTAAAGTACACCATTCGAGCCTCAATAATAAATTAGGTTGGATGAAACTTAGATCATTTATTTGGAGCAATTTGGTCAAACAGTAATATATAAATTTGGTCCTTAATATTTCAGATTAAGGAACAAGAATACATTGTAATAAACAGTCACACAAGAATAAACTGATAATAATCCACCAGAAGGACATATTGTAGTCAGTGGTACAGAGGATAAAGTCTTGAATACATAATCCTTATTGACTTGAAAAGAGCCAATATTATTCAACTTATAAGTAACAGACTGCATAATTATTTAAATGAATTATATTATGAGAGCAGACAAAAAGTTCTGCTTCATTTGTCTGAGCTTAATGATTGTCAGTTTATTTTGCCTGTTCCTCATTGATTTAATTTCATTAGTTTGAACAAGTTCTTATTCAGAAGCATTTGAACAGCATTATTTCTGCAAAATGTTATGAACTGTCCTTCACTTGCAAAGACCAGCCTTTCAATCACTTTTTTACCTCTTTTTTTCTCCCAAATTGTACATATTATTAAAGGCGCCTCTCAATGAACATATGCCAAACAGGATTCAATTTGTTTTCTGTTTTGTTTTTATATCAAAATCCTTTTAAATAAGGAGACTAAAATTGAAATGTGAAATGAAGAAATCTCTTCGTTTCAGCAGAATCTTTCATGTGCTCTGAAGGCCTAAGTCATCATAACCAGGCATTAAGTTTCCACTTGATAAAAATCAAACCCATAAACGCTGCTAAATGATGTACAGTTTGCTTCTGTAGCCACAATAACCTTGTCAGGATGGGCGGTAAAAGCTGAAGCCACGTCTCCCTGTTTTACTACACATGCAGTGAAATGCAGTGCAGGTACCACTTTAGCTCTTGGATAGCACCAAGGTCTGTCTTTAAGCAAGGTTCACTGCCAAAATGATGGTCAGGTAATCTGTGTGTGCTGAAGTGTAGCTTTTGTTGCTCACACAACCAACGTTTGTGCGACTGTCGTTCCATCTGTTAAATCTTCTCTGTCCCTCATATCAGTAGAAAACCTTGTAACTCAAAGGGAGGCATTTTACGGGAAGTTAGAAAAGCAGGCTCGGACTGACAAGCGTGCACTTCTGATATATTGTCACGGGGTTTCAGTGGATTCTGCGGGCCTCAGGGTCTTCAAACTTGCTCCAGCTTATCGAGCACCTTGTAAGCCTTCAGTTCAAGTAAAAACATGAACGTTGGTGTGTTTTTTTGGGGGGGGGGGTTAACTGACAGCAGGTACGCAGAGGCACGGAAGTAAAGTCGAGATTTTACAGCAGCATATCTGGTTTCATCAAAGGCCATCAGTCATGTGCTAGTCTTTCTCATCCACCTTTTATCCTGTGGAAATGTGACTCCCTCACTGCATGCTTCTTTTTAACCTTCCTCTCCCTCTCTCTCTGTGTGTGTGTCTCTCTATCCTCACTCGCCCTCTGTCCTTCTCTGTGAAGTCACATGCGAAAGTGATCAGCTTAATCCCAATCACCAGCTGTGTTTAACATGCTTTAGATTTGGAACACTTGGCTTCCTTGCTTTCACTTTTGTTTATGGGATCAGCATGAACACACACGCATGAGGCTTGACCTCGCAGAGTTGGACACGATGGCTCGTAAATGTTTTTATTTATATTTTAACCAGGAATTAAGCCTATCCTGTTTCATATTAATTCATATTGACGTCTCGTCTGCTCTTCGTGTGCCTTGCTCACGGGTAGTCAAAGGTTTTCAATATTTCCCCACCCACTTTTCCTCAGTGGCTCATTGGATTCAAACTGGCAACCTTCCAGCTATAATCCTGCTTCTGTAAACTCAAGCAAATGTAGCCCTGCGGGGTTTAATTGAATTTAAAAATGAATGAATCCAAACCCTGCTTGGTATGCTGTGTCCTCACCGCTGAAAAATTTCACAGTAATAATAATGTTACTAAATTCAAACATGCAGCACTTCCTAAACCAGTATTTCCAAAGTGCTTTAAACAATCAAATAAAGCAAATGGAGCCATAAAATAAATAAAGCAAGTTAAAAAAAAAAAGCAATGAGGCACTGCAGCATAAAAGATGACAAAAGAGGCTAAAAACAGTATGGTGGCAAAGAATAATCGGAGAGCATCATCACATAAAAGCAAGTCTATAAATGTAAGTTGTAAGATGTGATTTAAGACGTGAAGATGATATTGATTCTGCCGGCCCGAGCTCCTCAGGCATGTTGTCGCTGAGCCAAAAGCCCGGTCACCTTCAGTGTAAGCCAATGCTATTTTAATGCTCTGCAAAAAAAAAAAACAGAAGAATAACCCTGTCCTTCGTCTGTTTTTTCTATTTTGTCCACCCTGTCTCTGCAGGATCCCGGGCCCTCACCCCCGTCCCCCATTTTGGGACATAAACCACTGCAGCTGATCGAGGTGAAAGCCAGGGGGCGCTTTGGATGCGTGTGGAAGGCCCAGCTGCTGAATGAATATGTGGCCGTGAAGATCTTCCCGATTCAGGTGTGCAGCTGGCTTTGTTTACTTCTGACTCCTTTGGCGAAGTGTGGACTTAAGTCTGTATTTTTTTCCCGCCAGTGCTGAGTTTGTGATAGATTCAATCATTCCTAGCACACTTCCTGTCACCTCCCTTACTTTTCTTCTACAAGTTGTATTTGTTACCCTTGTTAATCGGGCAAAAACAATATCTGCATCTGTTCTCTCTGCTTCTCGCGTAGGACAAGTTGTCTTGGCAGAACGAGTATGAGATCTACAGCGTGAGCGGCATGAAGCACGACAACATCCTCCACTTCATCGGCGTGGAGAAAAGGAACAACAACCTGGACCTGGAGTTGTGGCTAATCACTGCCTACCATGACAAGGTACACTGTCACTGGAGATATATAGTACCTGCAAACAGCTATGTTTTTCTGATGCAATATGTTCCTCTTTTAAATTAATGACGGTATTTTTCCCATTTTACATTTGTAGGTTTAGCTGCCTCAACATGAGGCTCAGGCAATAGCTAATATTTTGAGGAATACCAACACCAGCAAAGGCTTTTCTCACATTAATTATGAATGCTGTAGATTTTAGGTTTCTCAGATTCTCAACGAAGGCTTCCAACCTTCTCACCTAACCAGTACATGCGAGTAAAGCCAATAACATAATGTGAAAAAGTCCAAAAGATGATTTTAAGCTTCATATTAAACCTAACAAATCTAAATCCACACTTCCTGCAACTGAAGTGTTGCTGTAATAAAAATGCAGAGAGGTGAAAGTAGTGGTGCGTCCTTGTATCTGAAACTATTCACGAGACTGAAAGTCCAAATAAGTACACTAGTCTCTACAGCTGAACAGTGGGTTATTTGTAAGACGTATTCACATAGTAAGAAAAAAACTGTCTCAGGTCCAAAAAAATAGAGAATAAATAGGCCTGCCGTGGTTCAAAAATATCTTAGTGGAGAAATCTGATTACTGACCAGCTGCATGTAAACGCGTGTTTTCCTGTAACCACTTACGATACTGCACGTAAACAAATTCTCTGATTTCCCGCCTGATTTCTCCCACTATCCAGATTGTTTCCATATCTCTTGTGTTTACATGTTTTTCTCCATGTAAACACAGTGATATCGTGGTCTTAGTCACCCCATGCTTATTGTGCACTCATCTGAAAACCTCCTGGGCAGGCAGCTAACAAAGTTGTAAAAAAAAAAAAAAACATGCATGAAACTTTCACATTGTATTGATTCTCTTTGGTGCCTTAAGAGCTAATCCATAATTACAATATACTTCATGCTGGGGGGGTTTGTTCTGTTTTTTAAGCCTCGATTACCCAGAGAAGGAAGACTTGTGCTTTGTTAGGCATGTCGTGCTTCACTCACCCTCTCTACCACAGTCATTGCAGCATTTGGGGCTTTAAGTGCCTCTGTGTTTTGAGGGTCATTACCGAGAGAATGGAGAGCGATTTCCGTGCACTTCCCTTTCTTGAATTTCCCAGCCAGGCAAGAATTTGAATGTGCGTGCTTAAGAAACATTCCCTGCGTGGATAAAGGTTGAAAAATTAAAGGTTGTGGGCGTGGCGGGGATGCTTTAACCCAGCAGTCCAACTCGTAGCCACTTAACCCTGGAGCAGGTCTAAAAGTGCTACTCTGATTTGTAGTAGCTCTCCAAGTGGAAATAACATTAAAGGAATTTGTTTTAGAGGCATTTTAGGAAAGGTCATACCACCGGGAATATATCAGAAAGATGTTTAAGTGCCTTGTCAACCATTTACTGTAATTATTTTGTAAGTCTCTAGAGGATTTTGACCTACAAAGAGCTTTTCCCTCCTGAGCAGGCGTAAAAATGTGTGACACCTCAGTTTGGACTGACCTTAGCTTGTGTAACACAGCTGGAACAGTGATTGCAGGGTTCAGCGTTTCCTTGACAGTTGATTTACCCTTCGAAGTTTGACTCATCTAAGTAGCTCTGTGTGTTAGAATTCAAATTAACTGTTTGAGTCTTTGCCTCAAAGGATACAAGCTCCTTTCAAAACTCCCAGTTTGCATTTTTCACATTTTGGACAATATGTAGATAATAATAATAGCTGTCTTTCAAAGGGATGTGGTCTGATTTGTCACAATTGAAGAGAAATAAACACAGCACTGAAAATACTGATATACACACACACACACACACACACACACACACACACACACACACACACACAGACACAGAGGAATATTTATCCAAAAACAGGAAGACTGAACTAATCACACTGAATGCTTTTTCTACATCTGTTGTAGCTGCCTGCCCTCTAGTGGTCACTAAGTTACACTACGTCTGTGTGGCCATTTGCCAGAAGTGACCTTGTATTATATTGACATACATTATGTAAGAACAAAGATGGTGTATACGGGATACACGTTTTAAAATAGAGTTTTAAAATAATGTAAAACAGTGTGAAGATTTAAGCAAGTCTTTGCTGATAATGGGCTCATGTGGTCAGCAAACCTTCTTTTGATAAATAGAGATTAAAGAACAGTTATCTAACACCTCAACAACAACGAGATAAATGAATAGCATTTATCAGAGCTGTATTATTCACCACGAACAGTAAATGTGCAGGACGTTGGCTTGGTGACAGAGGTGACCAAAGGACTTCACTGTGGTTTTAAGAGGACACCCAGTAGGTTTTAACTTGTATTTATCACCCTGTACTGAATAGTAAAGCTCCAGAAGGCAACTCCCATTTCTCCCTCTTCGATAATCCTCCCTAAAGTTTGGATATTCTGTACCATCAAGCAGAACTTCAGATATCTCTTTCTGCAGACGCCGTCGTACAGAAACCGTTTTATTACTGCGTCCCTTGTGAATAACAATACTACCCACAAGCTTTAGATGAATTTAAACCCATTCGGGGTATTGCTGTTACCATGGAAACATTGCATGCTCCATTACAAGTATCTAGTAGCCATCTCTCTAAATATTATTTGTTCTTTTACTGTCTCATACTTAGTATTACTGTTTAATAACCCACACTTCTAGATGTATTGTCAGTAAATATATTTAGACTTCTGTCATCTTTGTTCATTTGTTATCCTCTATCATAATAATGTTTTGTCATAAATTGAATCTTATTACTATTATCATTATTATTATTATTATTATTATTTATATAATATCTATTGCTTAATTTAAAGAAAGACTGACTTTTTGGTATCATTTAAGTAACAGTGCCGTAACAAGTTAGCATTCTGACTCGTTAATGTCTGTTATGTTGTTACATTTACCTAAATTTCAGCTTCTCTCAAAAGTTACATAGTCTTGCTTGTTATTGACAGATATGATCTTGAAATCTTTTCTAGATACTGAATGTGTCTTTCCTCACTCTCTCCCTCTCCAGGGGTCGCTGACAGACTACCTGAAGGCCAACGTGGTGTCCTGGAACGAGCTCTGCCACATTGCCCAGACGGCGGCCCGCGGCCTGGCCTACCTCCACGAAGACATCCCAGGACACAAGGACGGACACAAACCCTCCATCGCTCACAGGTACGCTGACGAGTTATTCAGCTTTTATCAAGACATTGGCGTCACAGCAGTTCTGCATTGGCTGATCTGTTGGACTGGTTGTATTTTCCTTGTTTCTCTTTGCATCTTAGGGACATTAAGAGTAAGAATGTGCTGTTGAAGAATAACCTGACAGCCTGCGTAGCTGACTTTGGTCTTGCCCTGAAGTTTGAGGCTGGAAAGTCGGCAGGAGATACACATGGACAGGTACAGTTTACAAATGTTAAAATACAACCTATTCATCCACCTCTTCACCATGTGTCCTGCCTTTTTAGGTTTCTACTGGCTTCTCAAATCAACACATGAATGAACGTCTTTGTAATGTTTCAGCGGTTTTGACTGGATCATCATAGTGTACTGTGGGTAATGGTACTGAGTCACCATTATCTGATAGCGCCTGTGGGTGGCAGTGTGGGACAGAAATTTAATGGTAGGGACTTTTTATGTTCTTAAGCAGCCATGTAAAGATTGAAAAAGATTGAAGATAATTTAAAACATCTTTAGGATTAAGTGTTGATTCTTCTTTGGATAGGAAGTTGGACAAAACTATGATAATGCAGCTGAAACATAATTCCTAGTTTATCAACAGACCTGTGTATGATACAAATGTTACTTCACATTTTCAATTCGTGTTTTGTATTGGTTAAACCTGAGTTTTTGTCAAACCCATGACTGCTTTAATTGGAATGGTTAAAAAAAACATGCTGGGATCAAGTCTTGTGAACAGATTTGTTATACTGTCTTGGTTTAATGTTGATCTGCCGACTAAGCAACAACCCTTCGATGATGAGCATCACTTTTCACCGTCTCAGCCCATCTGTGGCAGTGTCATGACTTTCTCCTTCCTCACTGCTTCTTCTTGATAATTCTATTCATGTTTATGTCCTGATGCTGACCTTTGACCTTTTGAACTGCTCCCTCTGAACCTGTAGGTGGGAACGCGGCGCTACATGGCTCCCGAAGTCCTGGAGGGGGCCATCAACTTCCAGCGCGACTCTTTCCTGCGCATTGACATGTACGCCTTCGGCCTCGTCCTGTGGGAGCTCGCGGCGCGGTGCACGGCCGCTGACGGTGAGACTGACACTGACGCATCAACAAAGAAAATGCTGCAATCAGATTGTTCCAACTGTGTTACATTACTCCACATTAACTTCAACTGTGGACATGTGGTTGTGTGTGAACAGGCCCAGTGGATGAGTACATGCTCCCGTTTGAGGAGGAGGTGGGGCAGCATCCGTCTCTGGAGGACATGCAGGAGGTCGTTGTGCATAAGAAACTGCGGCCCTGCCTGCGAGACTGCTGGCAGAAACACACGGTGAGTGATGAGAAGCCACTTTTATTGTTACTGTTTAGTTGTTGAGAGTCTGTCCTGTAACTGAATGGTCATATGTTTGATTCACATCAGAACTTGTGCTAAATTTGGTGCCAAAATATTCTGAATAAAGACACCAGTGAAAAACAAGATGTCTGGAATATAGAATATATAGAATTGTCATTTTGAGTATTTCTGTAAAATGTCAAAAAAAAAGGACCATAAACTCATCAGAGAAGCTCTGACATGCCGTAACACTGGTCTTCCTCTCTCCCTCAGGGTCTGGCCATGCTCTGCGAAACCATCGAGGACTGCTGGGACCACGAGGCCGAGGCTCGCCTGTCCGCCGGCTGCGTTGAGGAGCGCATCGGCCAAATGCAGCGCCAAGCCCCCATCATCGGCCCTGAGGAGATTGTCACTGTGGTCACCATGGTGACCAATGTGGACCTCCCACCCAAGGAGTCCAGCTTATGATCGGCCAATCAGATGACACCGAATGAGCTTGCAGAAACACGGATCAACACGAGGGGATGAACAGCCGACCCTGGTTGGTTGGCGTAGTGTTTTTTTTTTCTTTCTTTCTTTACATTTTCTGTTTTTGTTGGGTTCTTTTTTTCTTTTTTTTTTGTTCCTTTAAGTGCAGGCCGCTACTCACGTTCAGGACACACCCTGCGCCCACCTCACCACATCAGTTTATATCCACCTCATTTTGATATGTGTGCCTAAGGATTTTAACATTTTAACGGTCAACACTCTCTCACCCCGAGCAAACGATTCAGGATATTTACGACGACAAACGACGTCACTGAGTGACAGTGCTGACACGCTGGGACGACAACACTCAACACTTTGATCATGTCTTGTTTTTATATACATACATACACATAGGAGGGCAACCTGTTCTGCTCGGTTTTCTACAGAGAGAGGAGATCTTGCAGAGGAATTTCACAGAACTCTCGGTGCATTTTAGTGTAAAAAAGAAAAAAGAAAAAAGAAAGAGAAAAAAAAAAAAGACAAGTACCCGGCTCTCGATACATTTGCTGTTTTCCTGTGTGCGTTTTTTTGAAGAAACGACTATCGTTCTGCCAATAAGCAACGGCTTCTGAATGTTTATAGTGTAATGCTGCTGTACATAGTGTATTATGGACCCAGACAACTTGGTAATCAAGCTTATTTTAAAGGGGTGAGGGGGAAGGGGGGAGGGGGGGGTCCATTTTCAAGCATTACAACGATAAAAAACCATAAACCTCCTTCAACCAGGTATACCTCAGTTCAGATGGACACAGTTTAAATTAGTCCCTCTCCCTGTTCACAGTCAAAGCTCTCACTTTCCACAACCTTGGCTCTTCATGACATCCAAACAATCTGCTGTCAGCCATGACACTCATGGGTAACGTAGTCAGCAAAGCCTCGATATACATATGGCCATACACACCGTAAACTCCCTTTTTCCTCCCCTTTCTCAGTCTCACGTTTAGTTTTGCTCCACTTTGATTTTTGACTGAATAATAACTTTCTCCTTCTGTTAGTTTGTTTTTTTTTTGTTTTTTTCTCTTTGAGATTTTGTGCTGACAATGGAAAAAAAAAACCCCATAATGAAGTTATCGTTTAAAGTGATTTTTTCCGTTTTGGTTTGCCGTGTCAACTGTCAACGGAGTAATGATATCTATCGCTGACAAGTCTAATTTTGGCCGTGAGATCTGGATACACACTATATGTATTTATATCTCTCTGGATTAGCGCTGGGTACCAACCAATGATACCTTTGATATTTGGTATCAGTACCAAACCAGAAGGTATTAAAATGCTTCAGGATGGTCAGACACTTGGAGCTTATTCTTCTTGTTCTTTTCATTTTGTGAAATCAGTTGTGTGCGGTCTGATTCTATTTAGAAAAAACAGATTAACAAAATAAATCATCCAATGTGTTTAATTTTGGAAAGGTATCAGATTTGAAGTGCAGTTTGGAGGAAGTTTCCAGGGGTACCCAGCCCTACTTTGGAATTGTACCTGTATTTAGCTGAGCCAGCTTGCTTTTGATTTGATTGCACACATCTTTTTCTGGATTACTATCAAGAGTTTCTGCTCTCTTTTGATACACCTCAGGAATCTTTGCTACTCACCACCTCGTCACATCCTCCACCTCTTCCCATCCTCATCCTCACCTGTTTTGGACTGGAGTACTTCCTCTCTCGTTGATTCTTATGCCTCCTCTGTCACCTTCTTGCCTCGTCTCTACTTGTAAGGGTTTAGCCGTGCTGTCATACTCAAAACCAGTCTCTGCTGACATTCGGACAAGTTCAAATTTAATCTTACCACTAATCAGACAGTTAAATTGTATATTTTCCTCTGATACGTCTCTAGAACCTCACTGAATCTTACCCATTCCTATACGTTTTTTTAGTTAGTCCTAAATCCAAAGAACCGCCCCTGTGGAGCTAAACATCTGGTCTGGACTTAACCCTGAGAACTAATTACTTCAACTCTTTTATTAGGTCAAATGCTGCGCAAACATTAACCCCCATACACCTTAGTTGTTGCCCCATGTGTTCACCATCTCCATAAGCAAGCCAAATAAGGTCTAACTCTGACTCTGGTCAACTAGTTAACCAATCTTTCTCCTGTTTTCAGTGTTAACACCAACCCTTTTGAGATTTGTTATTGTTTTTTTTGTTTTTTTTTTTTTGAACAAGAAAGATGAATGGTGGACATCTGGGGTCATTTGTTTCCCTGAAGGTCTTGAGAAACTGATCGGACCTCTAGACATTTAGACTCTAGGATTTAGACACGAACTGTTAACAGATTCAACAGTTTTCACAAAATATGCATGTGATCAAAAAAAAAAAAAAAGAAGATGAACTGCTAGTTAGGTGCAGTTTTATGTTCCTCACGCAGGGCTGACATTAATGATATTGAAATCCTGCTGACTCTAACCAAACAATCGTACGGCTAACCACAGTTAGACGAGGAACCTCTCTTTCTCTCTTTCATCCTGGTGCCATTTCTACGTATCCATATTAGTTACTCTTGTAGATGTCAGGCAAAACGGATGTATCTGTCATTGTTGTGAAGGTAGCAATGACATTTTTGAGTCTTTATTTCCTCTGAGGGACATTGAACACTGGTGCCGGCAGACCTGCAGTCTCTCCTCAAGGTTTGGGACGGTTGCACAGCGTGCTGTTTAAAATCAAGTGGTGCGACTGGAAATATATTTTAAAACATGAAGAAACTTCTTTCTACCAAACCATTTCACATTCAGGACAGTACGTAATTATTAAGCTTTCTTTACAACATGTTTAGCATTTAAAGAAAACACTGAACTATAGTGCTTGAGGAAGTAAAGAGCCAAGTTAAAAAGTAAAAAAAAAACTTAAAAGTAGAGTATTCAGTAGAGCACATACCTCTGCTGAGGCGAAATGTTGAGGAAAATGTCAAAAAAATCTTGCCATGTTGATGTGAAAAAGAAAATGACTGGATCCGCCTTTTTAACTGGATCAGCGCTGAAATGTTGAAATGTAATGGGTTTTTCCCTGGTCCATCCTTCCACCAAGATTGGTGCAGATCAGTTCTGTACGTTCTGTGGAGGTAATGAAATTTATCAGTGACCATTTATAATTTCTAATTTATTTATGTTTGTTTTGAGCACTTAGATGTACCCCATCCATTCTGTGATACATGCTGTGTTTATGTCAGTTTTGTAACAACTGATTCTTTGGTCATTTCTCTAAAATACAGACTTTACAAGGCCAAACTAGCTTCATATTAACAGTTGTCAGGCCATTTTCCACCAAAAAGCCTAGAAACTAGAAGAAATAAGCACCAACTCTAAAAGTTCTTTGAGAGTATTTGATTACTGCTCCACCTCTAAAACGGCGACCTTTTGTTAAATCAGGAGGACACAGGACGCAAGTACAACAAGCTTGGGATATTATTTCAGCATGATAATATAAGACTATTGCAACAACACAGCAAACCTTGAAGGAAGTCGAAGCCATCATCTCCTTATTTACTTACTGTAGCACGAGTACGATATTTGCATCAATATCGCTTCGTTTTGCTGCTGCTGTTTTTCAATTAACTGCTATTCAAAAACAGCCAATATCTAAGGTCCTTATGAGGCTTGAACAGTCAGGGACGATCAGTACTGCAAACCCCAGCAGCCCCTCAATAAGTACTACCTCATTCACAGGGATTTCTTTGGGGTAGAAAGTATCGCAAATAAACCAAAATCTCAACCAGGTTCCTCGAGTAGAAAAGGGACTCAGATTCCCGAGTTCGTGAATTGGGGTAAAGTTCCAGTTTCTTATAAGTTTGAGACAAGCAAATTAAGGCTAAAAAGTTTCCTCAGTTTTACTGTGATGTATTATCTCACTCTGAAAGTTGTACAGTACTGCACAAGGCAGAACAATAAGCAGAAGGCTTCTCATTAAAAAGGAAAAAGATCCTTGACATCTCGACATCTAACATCTCAAGGAAAAACACCAGTATTACCCTTTCTCCCCCGTGTTTGTGTCCTCAAATGCAAAACTTACTCACCAGTATTTTAGCAAGTAGATTTTAAAAACAACCTCCAAATGTTGGCTGGTTACCTGCCAAAGTGGCTGGGGGAGTCGACGAACCTATCAGCCACAGCAAAAAAAAAAAAAAAAAAAAAACCTGCCAGCGTTTGGTTGGCAGTCACATCCTAGTACTGTAGGTAGATGGTTGAAGATGTTTGACAGCTTGAGTTTGAACTGCGCCTGAGAAACCGTCCCAAACCAACAAATACCATTCAGGGATTCAGTACTATGCTTTTCTAAGTTCTAGCGAGTTATATGCAACCAGTGCCGCAAACTACCCTACACTTCTGTAGGATCAACTGCAGGAGTGACTTTCAATATACACACACACAAATAACTTGTAGCATTTTAATTTTTTTTTTAATCCGTGACCTTGCATATTGATATGTTGTATTTATTTTTTAATTTACAGGCCTGAGGTTATGGGGATCAGAGCTCAGGTGCAACTCAGAATAAAGTTGTAAGAGTTGGCACGATTTATGGTTGTTGTTGGGGGGTTGCGGGTGGGTGTTTGGTTGTAATTCAGGAAATACTTTCATTAATTCAAAAAGAAAAGATATAAACTGTAACATGCTTCTTTCTATTCAGTCTATGGACAAACGACCGAGAATGAATGTTCTTCAGACTCCTGGATTCCAGTATTGTGTGTACTTTGATGGATTGAGCCCGGCCCTGTGTAACTTTAGAGGGCTTTGCGTTTGGCTGGTTTCGTGTGATTGTGCCCTGTCGCTGTAGAAACTAGTAAAACCGACGCACTCAGAGATCCATTCATACACCTCTTGTTTGTACAGCTCCCTGCTGATGTGAAGCAAGACCTGCTCTATGGGCAGTGAACTAGCAGTCAGACCACACAGTGCAACCAGAGAGAAAAGAAACCAACAGTAAAGCAAATTTTGTGAAGCTCCCAAGAAGGATCGAACCTTTTTATAGTTTTATTGTACCCAAAAAAAAAACCTCTGCTTCTGGCCTTCACATTTCTGTGGCCCGTCTTCAAATCACTACATTTCCACAATAACACTCTTCATAGGCTCCTCAAACTTAAAAATATTCAGTCTGTCTCTTCGTCTGCTCCTGCACCAAGATATCAACATCTCAAACACTTGGTTAAGGCGATTTGAGTCTGTCTTGTTTTCCATTTCGTCTCATCAGTCACAGATGAGTTTCATCTCTTTGGTTCCCCTCAGGTCTTGACTGTCTTAACAAACCTGTTCTGACTCTCTAAATCTGAACTTTGTCATTTAAAGGTGTATGAGTGGGTTGCTCAGTGTGCTGGCTTTACGTTTTTCTGTGTCGACCTCCTCCAGCCCAGCACCTCACATTGCTGTGCATATTAACTACCAGTGAAACATTTGTGTCTTGTTGCCCCCACTATTTTAAGCAGTCTAGGATCTGTACAGACATGAGAACATAAATACCTGTATCAACTATATACTCTGAGCTGAATCTTTATAAGTGCGTGTTGAACTTCAGTGTTTCCTCTACATTCATGTATACTTTTCTTATGTTATGACTCAGCAGCAGGGGTCTGGCCCGGCTGCATAAAAATTGTCCTTCACTATGCGAAAAAAAAACAAACTTAAAGTTGAGCTTTGCGTAAGCTAAAAG